TTTGATTGACCGATGAATAGCTATCGTATCACAAAGCCATCTATGCAAACAAGGCTGTAGTTTTTGAGTTACAAAAAAGTGACCACATTAACCGGTATTACGTAGGTACTTATATTCATCATCATCGTCATTACATCAATGAAAAGTTCTCTTCGGATTAAACATCAACTTTTACATTACGTAATTATTGTATATTTTTGGCAATGATTTGCAATAGTTTCCAAACATCTTCCTTTCCCCACGATTACAATGTCTTCAAAGCAAGAGAATATATTTAGTTAAGATAGCACGCTTTAATTTTGGTTTTATCATCACTTATCATCAGATGGGATTAAAACCTATCACTTATTAATAGTAATTAAAAATTGAGTAAAAATTATTTTCCCGATTTTTAGATACATATAATTAGCCCTTGAAGTAAATGTGAAAAACCAATAATTCGCAAATCACTGATCAATAACTTTCAATGAAGTAATTATATACTGGCCGAGTTTAAAACACTATAATTACGATGTAATTAATCATAAATATCTTAAGCAATATTACTATTTATAGTAAAATCGATCGATCGAAAGTTCCAGTTCGGAAATCATTCGGATTTTTGTTACACGATAAAAATAAGGTTACAACAGAAAGTTAAGGAAAACTTCAAAAATAGACATTGAGTAATGAAACGATAAAAAAGTTCAAGCTAGTATGCAAATGCATAAAGCTTATAAAGTTTTAAAACGGAAATAAAATCAAGGTATGCCAGTGAGGCTAAGTAGATGGCCGCGAAGTACAGTGTGCCTTTGTACTTAAGCACAAAAATAATTTTTTAGAATATCAATTAAGTTAAAAAAGTTGTATTTAATGCATATATCTCACCTGATGGTAAAAAGCTGATGTAGTCTAGCGACATTATCTAATTAAAATCAGCTCACATGGTTAAAGAGGACGAAGCCTATTATCCCATTACAACGTGGGTGTTGTTGGTGGAGACTTGGAAAAAAATATTATATACACGTAGTATAGATACGTGGTAGAGCCACGTTAAAGATATATTAATGTAGCACGAATCCGTCGGCTCGACAGCAGTATCACGCTCTCACAGATTCCCAGCGCAAAATAGCAGCTTCATGCTGCTGTTTTTCGTATGGTGAATATAGTGAACCGGGGACTCTTTTAACTGGAAACGAAGTATTCCATGTTGGTCCGCAAAGGTGACAACTAATTTGTATTTTGAGTCTTAATCGAGGATATATAAAGATGTATATGGGCTATAGCATCCACTTACCATCAAGTGGACTGTGTGCTCGTTTGTCACTCTTATTGTCTGAAAAAATCCTGTGGCTCCTGATGGGTAGCGATAACCAAGACCGCTGAAGGGGATCAGCGACAAAGGGGTGAAACGTGTACTCCAATTGTGACGATAAAGACAATGGGATATGACCAAGCTCAGAATTAGCGGGGTAATGAAGACAAAGAATTGAAGAAAGAACATTTTTTACAAAATTAATCTGACAAACCGTTCACCTCGTGGTTAATAATTTCTGCAGCTCAGAGACACTGCAGCCAGCTTCAGGCAAAAAGTCTACAGATGCGTTATCTCCCCCTGGCTAAGATGTAATACCTCACATTTATGCTCTCTATACCCTTAACACTAGAACATAGCAGTACAAGCTGTTACTTCATGATAGAAACAGGAAAGATTGTATCACCTACTCGTACGGATGCCTGGATAGAAAGGAAGTTATACCCTTTTTAAAATTATGATTAAAATTGGAATGCTTAATCTGAGTTTTAAGCTCTCGGTAATACTGGTTATTTCAAACTGATAGAAGCATGGTTACTCTTAACTATTTCTGTCACCAAAAAACATTGCGCCTACTGGTGGGATCCCATTCGAAAATAAAAAGCCAATAATCCGTGGCGCAGTGGCTTAGAAATGATTGCAGTACTAAGGGCCGCGGGTTTAAATTCCGCACGGAACAAGTATTTGTATGACCTACAAATAATTGTTCCAGGTCTGGATGTTTACGTGGGTTTAGAGCCATGCTGCAACTATACTAATAAAATAGTTGTAGCACGAATGGTTCGGTTCGACCGGGGAACGACCACGCTCTCACAGAATACCAGCGTAAAATAGCGGCTCCACGCTGCTGTTTTTCGTATGGTGCGTGTAGAGAACCGGAGACCCTTTTTCACTGGAATTGAGGCATTCCATCTTAGTCCTAAAGGGTGGCAACGCATCTACAGTTTGATGTCCACGGATCCCAGACTCCACTTACAATTGAGTGGACTATGTGCTCGTTTGTTACCCTTTTCTACAAAAAAAAAAGTACAGATGTCTATAGGCAAAAGCATCCAATTACCAGCTGCTGTGAGTGTGTCGTTTGTCACTCTAATTATATAAGAAACCGCTGCTAGACACAGGCCTCCTCTTATTTCTAAGAATGTTTAACTAGCAATAAATATTTTAATCCCTCAATCTTAATAAACATCCCATGCAGTCGCATGCGCCGGCAAATCCCGAGCGGTTGTATGCGACGGCACCCACCCGCAGCAATTAAAATCATTAAAACTTATGTTTAGAGACTACTTTTCTATGAAGAAGTTTGGCTTTATAAAATCTATACAAAATTCTCTATCCTGTGGTTTAAAGAAAAGTCAGGTTTTACTTCATTACAAAAAGAATTTATTGTATTTTATAATAAAAAAAAAATATACCAAGCGAATGTCGGCAGCTTGAAAATCACAATTATTTCAATATATACTACTCGAAATTATTTACGTTAAAGGAAAAATTATGGTCACACAAAAACTTTTATTAGTGAATAAAACTAAATTTACAGATTTTTTTCGCGTTTATTTCATTACTTTTACTTATTTTTAATTCCCGACGTTTCGGGTGCTTTACAGCAACCATGGTCACGGGGGGGGGGACTGAGATGTTTGACGTCCCAATGTCATAGTTAGTCCGGCTACTTTCAGTTTTTGAATACTAATTTTTGGTCCAATTTACGCAAAACGAGCTTATAGTATCATGAAGTCTTGCAGTGGTATGCATGGTTTAGCTAATTGTGAAGGATCAAGATGGTGGCAGACCATTCATCCATTTAAATACCTCGGTATCATCTTGGTATGATGGTATTTTTCCTATAACACAGTGTGAAAGAAAATTTCGCAGACTCCATACGGGTTGCAATCAATCCACCTTTTAGATATGTCAGAGAAGTCACAGACAAGGTTGGCTATATCTTGAAGCGAGCTTCCATTAAAACATACTACAAGCCGTCGAAGAAGATTAGTCAATTTTTACCATCCGTCAAGTGTAATATCCCTCTACAAGATGCAGGAGTGTACAAGTTAGATGATGTCTCTCTTACATAGGTCAAACAAAAAGATCCATAAAAACCCGCGTGAAAGAACATATAGCTGACGTGAAGCACCGACGCTCCGGGAAGTCTGCAGTCTGCGAACATGTTCAAGATCGTCCCCACCATTACATTCGATTTGATAAACCACAAATTCTCGCAAAAGAACACCGATTCCTACCAAGGATGATACGCGAGGCTATTGAAATTAAAAAATACATCCAAATTTCAATAGAGAAGATGGATGGGTGCTGCTAGCAGCTTGGGATCCTATAATTAACAAAATTAAACCCAAACCTAAGCATACCACTGCAAGACTTCATGATACTATAAGCTCGTATTGCGTAAATTGGACCAAAAATTAATATTCAAAAATTTGAAGGTAGCCGGACTAACTATGACATTGGGACGTCAAACATCTCAGTCCCCCCCGTGACCATGGTTGCTGTAAAGCACCCGAAACGTCGGAAATTAAAATTAAGTAAAAGTAATGAAATAAACGCGATAAAATCCGTAGATTTAGTTTTATTCAACTTTTATTAGTGTTCAATAATAAAACACTATACTACAACACTAATAAAACACAATAACATTCACGCGAAAATACATACATAAACACTGACGCCTGTCACCCAGAGGGGTAGGCAGAGACTACAGACTTCCATTTAGCACGATCCTGACATACTTCTCTTGCCTCTTCCACATCCATATACCTACGCATACATGCTCGTCGGTTAAGGACACTCTTAATTTGGTCCATTTTTAATGTATTATCGCCAATTTTCGACAAACTTTCGCCTAGGACGTCCCTTTCCGACTCTTCTATTCACTTCTGCAACATATATTTGCCTTGTCAGTCTTTCCTCATTCATTCTTTCTACAAGACCAAACCAACGAAGCATTCCTTTCTTAATCCTGGTCACCGCATCATCTTGCAAACCACACTCTTCTTTTATCACACAGTTTCTCACCCTGTCACTCAGATTCAGTCCTAACATACTCCTTAGCGACCGCATTTCTACTGTATTTATTCTACTCTCGTGCTTCTTCTTCCACACCCAACTTTCACTACCATACGTTAAAGTAGGGACTAATACAGCATTGTGAATTGCCATACGTGCCTTTTTTGACACATTCTGACTTTTCACAATAGAGTGTAGAGCCCCATTTACTTTATTTCCTGCATTGACTCGTCGTTCAATATCCTTATCATATCTCCCATCCCTGCTGAATACACATCCCAAATATACGAACTCATCCACTTACTAAATTAATTAAAAGCAAACGAAAATGGCGTACGAAATGAACGTAGATTATAAATAAATATCTATAAGATAACTAACTTTTTACACTATAGGATATAAAATTTCATATTGATTCTATAATGCCAAACTTTTTCATAGAAAAGTAGTCTCTATAAGTATATGGGGTTAAGCGGGGGCGGGTTGGCGCAGGCCGCTAGGGGATCAAGAGGTTTCAAAAATGTTTTTAAAATTACGAACAGATTTTTTCATAAGCATCTCACTGCATACAAGGAATAGGTAAGCACAGTTGAAAATACCATATCCACGTAAGCTCCTTTTGCGTAAATCTTAGATGACGATATTCAAGTACGAAATTGCGTGTGCTTATTGTGGCTTTTAGGCAGGACTGCTATATATACCGAGCGGCGCTGAACCTTTGTTAGATAATTCGGTCGCTCCAAGTCGGACACAACTAGTGACAAACAGTCAACCTATAGAAAACACCAACAACATGCAGGGATTCGTAAGTTTCTTTTTATAAGTTATTACGTGGTCAAGCTACACTGCAGCTATATTGTGGTTGCAGCATAAATAGGTCGGCTCAACCGTGGAAGTACTACGCTCTCACTAAATAACAGCTGTATTTCGTGTGGTGAGTGTAGAGAATTGGAGATGCTTTTTACTGGATACGAGGCATTTCATGCTAGTACTCAAAGGTGATAACGCTTTGCATTTTGATTCTTAATTGAGCTTTGTTCTAGTTAGTCACCCTTATCCTATATAAAAATATTACGTGTGAAAATCACATTATCAATTTCCATATTGGTTATTTTTGTTTTTATAGTATAGGGGCAAACGAGCACACAGTCCACCTGATGGTAAGTGGTTGCTGCGGCCCATAGACATCTACATCTATCCTCGATTACAAATCATAATTCAGATGCGCTGTCACTCGTGAGGACTAAGGTGGAATACCTCGTTTCCAGCAAAAAGGGTCTCCGGTCACTCACCATACGAAACACAGCAGAATTAGGCTATTAATTTACGCTGGTATTCTTTGAGAGCGTGATCCGTCCTCGGTCGAGCCAATCCATTCGTGCTTCAACTATACTACTCATATAACTGCAGAATGGCTCTACCACGATATTTAATAACATACTCTGTCAAGACATTCAACTTGATTTAATTCGAGCTGGCTTTTGTATTTAGGAAGCTTATAAGCTCCTAATACTCTTGTAAAACTTTGGGTAAAACTTTGAAAAAGATATGATGTTGTTTAATACTTACGTCCTAAAATCCGTATAAACTTTTTAAGCACTTAATAGTCTCTCACCTGTTCATTGTAATAGTGTTATTTTTAATGTTAGTAGTTTTAGAAACTAGTATCTAATAATCAGAACAAAGCTTATTTTTACGATTGTAAGTGCTAAAAGTTATTTGATTAATTACTGTGGTATGAATAAACTAGTTCAGTTGTTTTACATATTCAGTAGGGTTAAAATTTATTTGATGGGAAAAAATCAAAACAGCAAAATAAAATTTGAAATCAACAATAGTCCGTTTACTCCTCTAGAGTTTATGTTATGTTTTGTTTTTACGTTAGATAACTTTTAACTGACGATGAAAAACTCAGATTTGTATGGTCTTATTTGTTCGGAGGTTATACAACCGAAAAAAAGGTTATAAATTAAATAAATATCATTTTTTGTCGATAAACACATAGCATAATTTTCACGAGTAAAAAATATTGGTACCAAATATTTGTATCAAAAGTAGTTAAAATTATTGGTAGATATAATTTAATTTAAAAGTACTCTCCTAAAAAATAATTTATTCATAATTTCCAGGTTGTCTTCACCGCTCTCCTGGCTTGCGCCGCTGCAGCCCCTGGTGTACTGGTAGCCCATACTCCAGTAGTCGCCGCTGTCCACACAGCCCCTGTGGTACACGCCGCTGTACCAGTAGTGGCCGCTAAGACTACAGTCACGAAAAGCAGCCAAGTTGTCAACCACGGTACACCACTCGTCGCTGCCCCTGTTGTCGTCAAGACCGCCGTACCTGTGGTACACGCTACCCCAGTCGTCCATGCTGCTCCAATCGTCCACGCCCCTGTTGTTCACGCCGTCCACACACCAGTGGTGGTGAAGACAGCCCCCGCCGCTATCACTCACAGCACCTCGATCGTTCACCATACACCCGTCGTTAAGGCCGTCCCTCTAGTCGCTGTTCACTAATTTATTTGAAACTAGTAGTATTTTTTCCGTCAAATAATTTAATAAATCGTATACTTCCGACTTTATTTGTTTTATTCAAATCAAACACTATTTTATTTAAGCGACACTAGCCTAAGGCACAAAGAAAGCTGACTTACTAATTAACATGTACCTATGAGTATATAATGTAAGCCACTAACAAATTCAAGTAGATGATAGAGTTATGTGCTTACGTAAATCTATTTCACAGAGCTCGCACAAGCTTCAAAGAATTCGATGCGAGGTATTTCCGGGGAATTTCTAACCATGTAGTCCTCATCTTCTGCTGTGATAGAATTAGGCACGCGATAAATTTACGTGAGATGTATAAAGTGTGTAACAAACAACCCGGTGATCCTTTTAGGAACATATGGATGTAATGTATTGCCATGGCACTTATGACAGTAATTTTTTCTTCAGTTATTAAAGGGAATTTAGTGTTTACAATATTTAGGTAACTTACTAAATTGTCTTGTGAAATTTTTTTATTCATATCTGAACTAACTGACACGCGAATTGGTAAACGGAGTCTTCAGTACCTCATACAATTTGCAAATAAATTTTATTTAAATCTAATTAAAAAATTTATGATCTAGTCGTTTTAAGTAAAGTTATTTCTATGCGTTTGAATACTGACTCTGTTGTAGAGTCGGACGTGCTTAGTGTTTTTTAAAAATCGTTATAGATTATCCGAGTCGTTCCTAAGTCTCGAGCTCGCTTTGCTCGCTCTTACACTCAATAAAACACAAAAATATTAATTTTATAATTACTTTAAATTATAAACATAGTTCATGGCTACCACCATTTGTAAAAAAGGATCCAGAGAGGTAGCAAAGTCTTTGAAAAACAGGTGGAGACAGATAAAAACGTAACGTAGGGAGCACATTCACGTAAACTCGGAAACAACGGAATGACGTAAAATATATCTGTCACTGTCACTGTTAGGATGAATTTGACAGATGCAACCTCAAAAACGTTAGAATTTAGTTAAAATTACGTTCCATTTCACGTTTATTTACGGATTTACCAATATTTAAAAAAATAATTAAAACTACTTCAACGCTGCTCCGGCAGCAAAAATTACATGCGGGTGCTTCAGATAAACTCCCTTGACCTCTCCACAGTAACAGAATCCTCAAATCTTAAAAGGCGACTTAAATTTAAACCAAACCCTCTTAGGCCTATTTAGGGTATTGCTTACGAGAGAGCAAGTAATATAATAGTCCTCAGAGGTGACAACTCATTTGTACGAGTATTTAGTCTTAATAGAGGATAGATGAAGATGTCTATGGGCACAGCATCCACTTACAATCAAGTCGACTATGTGCTAGTTTGTCACCCTTATTGTATGAAACAATCTTACAGCTTCTGATGGGTAGGACGCGAGTCTACTCCAGCTGTGATGATAAAGACAATGGGATATGCCCATGCCCAGGATTAACTTTTTCGGCGTGATGATGACAAAGAATTGAAGGAAGAACATTTTCTTATAAAATAAAGTGACAAACCGTTGAACTGGTAGTAAATAACTACTGCAGCTCATGGATACGTCAGCCAGCTGAATGAACTTGGCATCAAGCAAAAAGTCTACAGATGCGTTGTCTCCTCTGGCTCTCTAAACCCTTAACACTGGAACATAGCAGTACACGCTGTTACTTTATGAAAGAAACATGTAGGATTGTATCACCTACTCATACGGACGCCTGGATAGAAAAGGAGTTATACCCTTTTTAAAATTATGATTAAAATTGGAATGCTTAATATCTGGAGTCTGAGTTTTAAGCTCTCGGTAATAACGATTAGTTCAAGCTGGTAGCAGCATGGTTACTCTTACCTATTTCTGCCACCAAACAATATTACGTTCACTGGTCTGTGAACTGTCTGAACTGTCACTGGTCTGGCCCACTGGGGATCAAATTCGAAAATATTATAAAGTCAATAATCCACGGCGCAGTAACGAATTGCAGTGCTAAGGGCCGCGAGTTCAAATCCCGCACGGAACAAGTATTTGTATGATCTACAAATAATTGTTCCATTCCGTCTTAGTCCTCACGGGTGACAACGCATCTGCATTTTGATTCGTAGTCGAGGATAGATGTAGAGGTCTATGGGACACAGCACCCATTTACCATCAGGTTGACTGTGTGCTCGTTTGTCACCCTTATCCTATAAATAAACATGTTTGTTCTAGCATAATTAGTAACGTAAACTGCCCCCACGATATAGGAGAAAATTCTAGTGTAGAGGAGACATTTTTAAAGAAAAAAAGAAAAAAGATAATGTTCTCCAGACTTAATTTCGATCACGGCAGCTAGTTTCAAGGGAGACTAGCCATATGCGCAGGATAGGTTAGCACTAACTCTCATACTCCGATGGGACGGTTATTCAAAATGACTGGAGATAGGTCAGGTGCAGGACCAACAGTTTTACGTGCTTTCCGAGGCACAGGGTTGAAACACCTCCAACTTCCTGACTTCAAGCTGCCACTGAAAATTTCTTGACAAACCTAATAACTGATTTTGACCCGACCAAGGAATTAAACTCGGAACTTCATGATGTGTAACTGCGTTAACTACCACAAGACCAACGAGGCAGTCAAAGTCAGTCAGAGCCAATATAATGACCGGCTGTTAGCGATTTGATCTTAGTTCTTAGCAGTGCCTACGGTTCCTAAGTTAAAAGACTATGTCATTTCCATACGGGCAGATCTTACGTAAATCTATTGTTAAGAGACAGTTAGTATGGACAAATACTTAGATTGTATTAACAACAAACAACAATAGAACAAATGTTTGGACAAGACATAATGATAATTTGTGTATTGATTACGATTCCTAAATTAATAGAAATAGTGGTTTTACCAAAGAACTACTATGGAACAAAAAACTAATCTTTTTCTCCTTCTTCATCATCATTAACTCATGAAAGTCTCTTGCTGGACAAGGGTGTCTCTTAACAGGTGAATTGACGATTGCAGCACCAGAATTCTTGCAACTTTCACCCTGCTTCCCGTCTTAGATCTGGAAGTTTTTGTTAAAACCTAATTACTTGGAGATAATAGCTATTACATCGCTAATTGCCATTATTCGCTAATATATATAATTACATTAGTCATAAGATAATGTATAATAAATAAACACATAGTTGAGCCACACTGCAGCTGATATAGTTGTAGCACAAATGGCTCGAGGTAGAAACACGCTCTCATATAATATTATAATATAGCTTAATGTTGCTGTGTTTCATATAGATAGTGCGAAAATAGGTATTTAAATCTTAGTCCCCAGGGGTAATTACGCATGTTTTCTTAGATTCTTAGTCGATGATATTACCATCATGTGGACTGTGTACTTACTTGTCAGCTTGTCACCCTTATTATATAAACAATCCGTAGTTTGTTTGTTTTTAAAAACAATCTTAGGACATTAGCTCATACTACAACAACAGGTTTACGTTAACACGAGCCGGTCTGAATGAACTTGGCATCGGCCCACAAACCCACTTGAAAAATGCTTCGGCACTGCTTAAGTATTCATTTATTTATTAAATCTCAACGAGCAACGCCTGAAGGCAAGCACTGATGTATGAAACAAATGAAAGCTTATTGGATGCGGCAGTTTTTATAATATTAGATATATAATATAATAATATTATTTTGCTGTCATTTTAATATATAATAAATATAATATTATATATTAAAATGATAGCGTGAGTGTCGCGTCTTATGTGAAATGCCAAAAAGATATTAAAGCTATCGATGGATGATATGATATGATATGATATGATATCACGATAAGTACTTCGATTCCAAGGATGATCACATTAATGTAGAGACGTTGTTGCAAATGCAGGACGATTAAATATTGAAGAATTTAACATCAGATGAAATATTATCAAATCATTACTGCATTTTGTTTTTATACGTGGTAGAGCCACACTGCAGCTATATAATATATTGTAGCACAGGGTTCGTCGACCGAAGAGGGACTTAGCTCTCAAATAAAATCAATGTGAAATAGCAGCATAATGTTGCTGTATACCATACGGTGAGTGTAAAGAAACGGAAGACTCTGTTTATTGGCAACGAGGCAATCCATCTTAATTCTCAGGGATGGCAACACATCGGCGTTTGATTACTCAATTAGGATAGACGTAGATGTTTATCGACAATAGCATAAACAAGGTATTCCATCTTAGTCATCAGAAGTGTTGCCACCATAAGTAGCCAGCACAACCAGCGTAAAATAACAGCGTGATGCTGCTGTGTTTCGTATGGTTAGTATAAAGAACCAGAGACCCTTTTTACTGATACTAATTGAGCGATTCCATCTTAGTCCTCAAGAGTGGCAGTTTCTTCTACTAATCTGCAGTTTGATGTTCACGGACCCCAGACTCCACTTACCATTAAGTGGAATATGTGCTCGTTTGTTACCCTTCCCTATAAAAAAATTAGTACAGATGCTGTTGCATATATATATATATATATATATATATATATATATATATATATATATATATATATATTATATATATTAGCAACAGCATCCAATCACCAGCTGTGGTGAGTGCGTCTTTGTCACCCTAATTATATAAAAAGCCGCTGCTGGACACAGGCCTCCTCTTATTTCTAAGAAGGTGTAAACTAGCAATAAATATTTTAAAACAGATTTTTTAAAATTACGAACAGTTTTTTTTATAAACATCTCACTGCACACAAGGAATAGGTAAGCACACTTGAAAATACCATATCCACGCAAGCTCGCGTGCGTTTTGCGTAAATCTTAGATGACGATATTCAAGTACGAAATTGCGTGAGCTTATTGTGGCTTTTCGGCAGGACCGGTATATATACCGAGCGGCGCTGAACCTTTGTTAGATAATTCGTTCGCTCCAAGTCGGACACAACTAGTGATAAACAGTCAACATCTAGAAAACATCAACAAACAACATGCAGGGATTCGTGAGTTTTTTTTTATTAGTCATTACGTGGTAAAGCTACACTGCAGCAATATTATGGTTGCAGCATAAACAGGTCGGCTCAACCACGGAAGGAGTACGCTCTTACTGAATACCGGCGTAAAATGGCAGTATATGCTGCTGTATTTCGTATGGTGAGTATAGAGAATCGGAGATGCTTTTACTGGATACGAGGCATTTCATGCTAGTACTCAAAGTGCTAGTAATGCAAAGCGTTATCAGCTTTGCATTTTGATTCTTAATTAGGATAGATATGTCTATGGACCACATCATCCACTTATCATTAGCTAGGCTTTGTACTCGTTATTCACCCTTATCCTATACTAAAAAAATATTGCGTATTAAAATTACATTATTAATTATCAAATTGCTCATTTTTTTTATAGAATAGGGTGACAAACGAGTACACAGTCCATCTGATGGTAAGTGGTTGCTGCGGCCCATAGACATCTACATCTATCCTCGATTACAAATAAAAATGCAGTTGCGTTGTCACCCGTGAGGACTTAGGTGGAATGTCTCGTTTCCAGTAAAAAGGGTCTCCGGTTCTCTACACTCACCATACGAAACACAGCAGAATTAAGCTACTATTTTACGCTGGTATTCTGTGAGAGCGTGGTCCTTCCTTGGTCGAGCCAATCCATTCGTGCTTCAACTATACTACTAATATAACTGCAGAATGGCTCTACCACGATATTTAATAACATACTCTGTCAAGACATTCAACTTGATTTAATTCGAGCTGGCTTTTGTATTTAGGAAGCTTATAAGCTCCTAATACTCTTGTAAAACTTTGGGTAAAACTTTGAAAAAGATATGATATTGTTTAATACTTACATCCTAAAATCCGTATAAACTTTTTAAGCACTTAAAAGTCTCTCACCTGTTCATTGTAATAGTAAAGTTACAGCCTATATACGTACTACTGCAGGGCACACGCCTCCGCTCATTTCTGTGAGGGTTTTAGGGCAAGGAGGTGTCCGCCGCGCTTCTCCAATGCGTGTTGGCGAACTTCCCATGTCTACGAAATATTTTTTTCCTTATTCCGCAGACATGCAGGTTTCCACACGATGTTTTCCTTCACCGCCGAGCACGTGGTAAATCAGCACTTAAAATTGCAATTAACAATTTCATTGGTGCCGGCGGGGATCGAACCCGGGTTAATCGCGTTCTGTTATATCAACAGCGAGCGTTAACCATCTGAGCTACCACGGCTCGCATTGTAATAGTGTTATATTATTTTTAATTTAACTAGTTTTAGAAACTACTATCTTATAATAAGAACAAAGCTTATTTTTAGGATTGTAAGTGCTAAACGTTATTTGATTAATTACTGTTGTTTGAATAAACTAGTTCAGTTGTTTTACATATTCAGTAGGGTTAAAATTTATTTGATGGGAAAAAATCAAAACAGCAAAATTAAATTAAATCAACAATAGTCCGTCTACTCCTCTAGAGTTTATGTTTTGTTATTTTTTTACGGTAGTTAGCTTTTAATTGACGAAAAAATCATATTTTTATGGTCTAACTTATTCGGAGGTTATACAACCGAAAAAAGGTAATAAATTAAATAAATATCATTTTTTGTCGATAAAAACATGAAAACACGAAAAAAATATTGGTACCAAATATTTGTATTAAAAGTACATAAAAGATTATTGGTAGAGATAATTTAATTCAAAAGTACTCTCGCCTCCCTTGAATTTTTGATAGATTTTGTAACATTTGCCGTTAAATATCATAACATTTCAACAGGGGTGTCCTTTACGACTAACGCAACAAAAGTGTAAGATAATATGTATATCAAAACTGCTGCCGCAGAATCCTTCAGTTTTAATTTAGACGATCTCTATTTAGTATCTATTTACTTTATTTTAAGATACAATAAATTAAATTAATTCCTAATTTTGCTATAAATCTGATCGTGATCAGCATTTATATTCGTTCCCGACTCACCCGACGTCATCGCAAACAATACTAAAAGCTAGCAGTTCATTCTCACCGCGGACTTATTCAATGGTTCTTAACGATTTCTTATAAAAAACAAAAGCTGGATTGAACATAATGGAATTGGCAGATTTAATGGCCTCTTTAAGCAAGTGCAATTTCTTTATGTTTTAATGTATTTTACTTTTGTAGCAACCTTATTTACTGATTTAAATTCTTTAATTTATGTAATTTTCACACCTCTAAGCAAGAACCCAGACCACAAATGAATTAATAATTTCCAGGTTGTCTTCACCGCTCTCCTGGCTTGCGCCGCTGCAGCCCCTGGTGTACTGGTAGCTCATACTCCAGTAGTCGCCGCTGTCCACACAGCCCCTGTGGTACACGCCGCTGTACCAGTAGTGGCCGCAAAGACTACAGTCACGAAAAGCAGCCAAGTTGTCAACCACGGTACACCGCTCGTCGCTGCCCCTGTTGTCGTCAAGACCGCCGTACCTGTGGTACACGCTACCCCTGTCGTCCATGCTGCTCCAATCGTCCACGCCCCTGTTGTTCACGCCGTCCACACACCAGTGGTGGTGAAGACAGCCCCCGCCGCTATCACTCACAGCACCTCGATCGTTCACCATACACCCGTCGTTAAGGCCGTCCCTCTAGTCGCTGTTCACTAACTTATTTGAAACTAGGAGTATTTTTTCCGTCAAATAATTTAATAAATCGTATACTTCCGACTTTATTTCTTTTATTTAAATCAAACACTATTTTATTTCAGCGACACTAGCCTAATGGCAAAAAGAAAACTGACTTATTAATTAACATGTACCTATGAGTATATAATGTAAGCCACTAACAAATTCAAGTAGAATGTTTACGTAAATCTACTTCACAGAGCTCGCACAAGCTTCAAGGAATTCGATGCGAGGTATTTCCGGAGAATTTCTAACCATGTAGTCCTCATCTTCTGCTGTGATAGAATTAGGCACGCGATAAATTTTCGTGAGATGTATAAAGTATGCAACAAACAACCCGGTGATCCTTTTAGGAACTGGCATTATGACAACTTAGGCATTTATGACAGTAATTTTCTTCAGTTATTTAGTGTTTACAATATTTAGGTAACTTACTAAATTGTCTTGTGAAAAAATGTTATTCATATCTGAACTAACTGACATGCTAATCGGTAAACGGAGTCTTTTTGCATACTCTTATCACATGAACTCTTACTCTCTGGCCAATGCAGAGGAAATAAAATCACAAACAATTTACAAATAAAAATTAATATAAATCTAATTTGATTTATTTATGGTTGAGTTGTTTGAAGTAAAGTTATTTCTATGCGTTTGAATACTGACTCGGATAACGCACTTAACGGAAACCGTAGGGTTTTTGTTGTATGTTATTTATATGGAGAGAAGGCTCATTAATGATTTCCTCGATTGCTAATTAAATTTATGTTCCGATCACTGATTTCGCAAGTAAATGTGAAATTCGGTAACTGCAGAAAGTTCCTATCTGAATAAAAAAAAAAAACTTAAAAAAGAAATTCACCATCATCATGATTACAGCCCATTACAAGTCCACTGCTGAACATAGACCTCTCGCAAGTAACATCCTAAAGCACAGTCCTAGGGCACCTTTATCCATCAACTTCCTGTGTCCTGAAAATGCTGTATCTCGTGTTTTATTTATTTACTTACAAATTCATATAATCATTTTCTACTAGTCTATCTTGAGTCTACTATTTCCTTCTGCCGCCGCTTACGTCACCCAAGAGATAATATAAAGTAGTGAATTATCTTACGCCGATCCACTACACGGCAAATGCTGAAATTTGTACGACACCAAAAGTCTATGCCGCTGTTTTTCTTCAACAAGGAGGGTATTTCGACGTCTTACATAATACGAGATCGAGATTCAATTTCATCAAGGGTTGCAGCTGCGTTTTAACTATTCTAAACCAGTGCTTGACTAATAACCCACCTCATGGTAAATTCACCAGCACTGCGAACAGATGTTGCATTTCTTTACTTTTTGTATCACATTTACCACGGGGAGTGCTCTGAGGAATTTTTCGGATTAATTCCAGCGGCTAAATTCATCTAACGCACATCATGACAAAACTCACAATACCATCCATACCATCCGGATGCTTGGCTATCTACTACTATGCGATTTACTGGGAGTGGTTCCAAGTAGTTAAAGAAACGTGCTTACTCTTTTTTAAAAGGCCGGCATTACACCTGCATTTCCGCTGATATTGAAGTTGTTCATGGTCGCCACTTACCATCAGGGGAGCTGCGTGCTTGTGTGTTTATAAAATAAATGGTGATGGAGCTGAAGCTGGTGAAGTGCACCAACTTAGCTTGAAAAAAGCCTATTCACTCTTTCCTTATGGACACCCACGTTGTAATCAGATGTAGAGTCAGATGATAGGAAAAATATGCCACCTTTCCTTTGCTATACGCATGAAGAAGGATGAAGAAGATCCGTTTGATTCGGATGTGCGGCAAGTCGACAACGAAGGAGTAGAGAAAGAAGAAGACTATTATATATATATATATATATATATATATATATATATATATATATATATATATATATATATATATATAAGTTTATAAGGAGAAGTTATTATTCCTGTACACACTCCATGAAATGCATACATAAATAAATAAAAATTGCGCTGCTTTAATTTAGTTTTTTTAAACACATTTATTTTCTAAACCGAGCGTCTAGTACATAATAAATCACTGTGTACCGTGTGTAATCATATTCTGAATTCAGGCCAAATAGTCATCCATCTTATTTAGGATTTTAGGGTTAATATAATGAACTCATTCAAGCCCAACGTATTCTGTGCCACTTTTGCTCTCATTATTCGGATATATTTAATACATCTAAAGTCAGGTTTATAGTAAAGAATATAATTGAGTATAAATTATATATGTTAAGTATAAATGGTAGAGCCACGCTACAGCTATATTAAAGTTGTAGCACAACATAGCATAAAATAGCAGCTTAACTGCAGCTTGTGCTTTGTATGGTAGAGAAGCAGAGACCTTTTTTACAGGAAACGAGGCATTCCTTCTTAGTCCTCGGGGGTGAAAACGTATCCACTGTTTGATTTTAAATGGAGAATGGTATGTAGAATTCCGTGTGCTACAGCATTCACTTACCATCACTCCCTTATTCTACAAAAAAGTCTTTTCTACAGTCTTTTTATGATCACTAGTCTGTCATTTAGAGCATCTCTGCGTTAGCCTCCTTGTTCATATTTTGCGCAATAAGAATTTCTACCGTTTTATTTCCGCTTTGTGCGATGTCTGGAAGAAATTGCTGTATAGCAATAATAAGGAATTTTGTTTCCCTTATATGTTTGTTTTCTATTATGTAATTTGTTTTCTTGATGTGCAATAAAGACTATGTTTTATATTGTTAACTAGTACTACATCTATAGACTGATTATTAAATAGAATCCTAATAAAATTTTCATTAGTTTTCGTGTACCTAGTGGCAGTGTTAGAAAATCCACTACCTACCCCATTTCATCCCGCGGGTGTCGTAAGAGGCGACAGAGGGAAACAAACCAGGATATGGGCAGAAGGGTCTTCCTAATAACGACATAAAATAAAAAAATGTCGTTGCCAACCCGCTTGCCAAGCGTGACAACTATGGCAATATCACCCCTATGAGCCAATATATGGGAGCAAGATTATGTTCACTAGTGGACTTTAATACGCTATAACCGTAACAGTACGTACCACTTATACGTGGTAGAGCCATGCTGCAGTTATATTAGTAGTATAGTTGTAGCACGAATGGGTCGGCTCGACCGGGGAACGACCACGCTCTCACAGAATAAGACCCTTTTTACTGGAAACGAGGCATTCCATCTTAGTCCTTACGGTTGACAACGCATCTGCATTTTGATTCGTAATCGAAGATAGATGTAGATGTCTATGGCCCACAGCAACCACTTACCATCAGGTGGTCTGTGTGCTAGTTTGTCACCCTATCCAGTAAAAAAGTAGTACAGCTGTGTAGTGGAAACTTTCCGTGGGTGACAAGAGGTGACAAGGAAGTGAAACAGGAGGTGAGCAGCAGCATATTGCCAAGCTTAGTAATATTGCGAATTTGCCCATATATGAGGCAATCAATCAAAGGGGAGGCTTTTAATCAGCAGTGGAGCTTTAATGGGCTGTAATGAGTGAAAGAATCTATATTACATGTTGGCACTAAAATCAGGGCTAGGATGACACATCTTAGTGTTTCCAGAGTGGCAGTCCTATTTGGACCATTTCCCATAAAAGATATTTTTTATAAGTTTTTTTAAGCCGGAGATTCACTTTTTTATATTTATTTTCTACCTTTCTGCATTGTCAAAACGATTTATTTTTCATTGTAAGTGTATAATTAAGACTAGTTATAAGATTATCTATACATAATGTTTATTTTGAGTACTTAGTGGTAATTTGTTAAGAAATGGCCAAATAAATATTTCTTTCTTTCTTTCTTTCTATATTGGCAAAGGCGCAGGTTCGGTCGCAAATGGAATACTGGTCCCATCTCTGGGCCGGGGCTCCCCAGTGCCAGTTCCTTTCATCGCATCCAGCGCAAAGTTGTTCAAATCGTCGCCGATCGAGATCTATCCGATCGGCTTGGCTCACTGGCATTGCGAAGAGATGTTGTATCTCTTTGCGTATTTTATCACATCTACCACGGAGAGTGCTCTGAGTAATTGTTCGGTCTAATTCCAGCCGCACAATTTCACCATCGCACATCGCGACAAAACTCGCGATACCATCCATACCATCTTGGTGACTGACGGTCCACCACAGTGCGATTTAAAAAAATTTTTCTTCCTCGCACAGCTTTCTTGTAGAATCGACTACCACCAGAGATTTTTCCGGACCGATACGACTTAGGGACCAGAAACAGAAACGGAAACTTTTTTATTCAATGTAGATTATAAACCTCCTCCTTATAAACCGGGTTCGCAAAAAAACCTCTGCCCTGGGAAGAACCAGCAAGAAATCCAGCGGAACTTTTTTTTTCCAATAATAGCTTACAATCACGTTTACAATCAACAACACAAGACAAATTAGAAATAGCTTGGTAGCGATCACCCTTCCCACGGGTTAGCTTAACTTAGTTTTATAATATTTTTGAACTTTGTGTATGACAAATTTTGTATATTTTCTAGAATTAAAAATACTGAAATACAAATATTGTCATACACATTTGTGTATACATTGCCGTAAGAATGAATTACTGACTTGGTGGAGTCGAGTAACTAGTACTACTAGCTTGTGTCTGTATCTAGTATTTATAGAATGAATATCACTTATTTTTGCCAAACTACTTTAATTTTTGTGTACGTACATTATATTTTCATAAATGTATTGAGAGGTCAGAGTTAATATATTAATTTCCTTCAATTTATGTCTCAGTGACTCTTTTGGTTTTAATGTTTTAATGTTGCTCGAATGGTTTCTGTAAAATAAATATAATTTCAGTGTCAGCCGCGTATCCCTATAGTAAAATACCATAAGACATAATACTATGGAAATAACTAAAGTAACCTTTAATAAAAAAGCCTACTTCTTTTTAAAAGGCCGGCAACGCATCTGCAATTCCCCCGGTGTTGCAGTGTAAAGTGGTAAGTGGATAC